TAAAACAAACAAAAAAACCCTTAAGAGCTTCAGATATTTAACTTTAATATATAAGGTATCCCCCTAAAATGTATACATACTTTGAATAATTATAAAGGCAGTGTTTATTAAAATACATTTCATGTGCTTGCTTTGGCAGCACATATACTAAAATTGGAACAATACAGAGAAGATTAGCATGGCCCCTGCACAAGGATGACTGGCAAATTCATGAAGCGTTCCATATTTAAAAAAACACACACATCATTTCATTTTTAAAATGTAATAGAAATCAACTGTTAAAGTATATATATACATTTTTTTTGGGACACCCTGTATATAGAGTTAAGTATGGATGTCATGTTAATATTTACAATTAGTAATAGATGCATTTATCTCAGGGGAAAAAACTCATTTGAGATGAAATGTCTTTTGAAATCAAAGCCAAAATTCATTCAATTCTTACCCTGTTTGTATACTGAAGATCTGATCCAAATAAAGGGTTGTAAATACAGGTATCTGCTTTCTCTAGGGCTAACATTTTACTCTTTATTTCTAGTGCACTATAGCCCATATGTAGTGAGTTTTCTGTCTGACCTGATTCAGTAGCATATGCAGGATTTATGACATTAGTTTTTATCCGCTCAAGAGGAGATGGTCGGAATAAAGCTGGAATAAAGTGAGATTGTGCATGACGTTCATCTAACCACCTGGCAAAATAGAAAAAATGAAGAGTAGATACATTTGTTCAAAAGTGAGGATAAAATATAATACTATCCAATTCTGGTATGTGATACTTTCTAATATTCACATCTTTATACTTTTAATTAATGTTGGTTAAGTACTTCATTTACTCTTAACAAAAGTTTTGTTCATGGACATAGCAAACCACTTTAAAAAATGTATAAACCATTATAATAATAAAATCCTTTTCAAAAACATGAAGCACTTTTAAAATTTAAACCACTGAGACACAGGTACATTAGCCCTGTTGTTACAAAAAGACAAAGGCATGGTAGATTAAAAGACTTGTTCACTGATGAGAGTTAACTCAATACTAAATCTAGTTTTATAACAAAGGAATCTTAATTAAAACAAGGCATTCTTTGCCATTTTTGAGGATAAAATTAACATGTTGCAAGCAAACAAAGACAATCCTATCTTTGGAGTTTTTCATTTTTATATGATACTTCAAAAACCATTTCTTGCAAATTAAAACTATGAGGTATCACCTCATACCTGTTAGAGGCTATTATTTATTTATTTTTGGTTAATCCTCACCCGAGTGTATTTTTTTTCATTGATTTTTAGAGTGGAAGGGAGGTGGAGAAGGGGTAATTATGCTAAGTGAATTAAGTCAAACAGAAGACAACAACCTTATGATCTCACTCATATGTGGAATATTAAAAAAGAAACAAATGAACAAAACAAACTCATAGATTCAGAAAACAGAATGGTAGTTACCAGAGAGAAAAGGGGGAGGGTGAATTGGTTAGGGGGTCAAATATATGATATGGGAAAGAAAATAGACTGGGTTATGAACATACAATAGAGTATACAGATAATGAATTCTCATATTTACACATGAAATTATTTAATGTTATCAACCAATGTCATCTTAATAAATGTAATTTTTACAAAATTTACCATTTAATGGAACTGGAGAGCATTATGCTAAGTGAAATAAGCCAGTCAGAGAAAGATAAATATCATATGATCTCAATCATTTGTGGAATATAATGAACAACATAAACTGACGAACAAAGACAGAAACAGAGTCATAGAGGCACTGAATAAACTGTCCAACCTATGAGGGAAGCGAGGGGGTAAGAGATCAACAAAAGGATTTGTATGCATGCATATGAGCATAACCAATGGACACAGATGGAGCAGGGGCTGGGGTAAGGGCATGTGCTGGAGGTTGGGGGTGGCCAGGGAGAGGTCAATGGGAGAAAAAGGAGATGTATGTAATACATTAAACAATAAAGAATTTAAACTAAAAAAAAAAAATTGCCGCCCTGACCGGTTTAGCTCAGTGGATAGAGCGTCAGCCTGCGGACTCAAGCGTCCCGGGTTCGGTTCCCGTCAAGGGCATGTACCTTGGTTGCGGGCATATCCCCAGTGCGGGGTGCGCAGGAGGCAGCTGATGGATGTTTCTCTCTCATTGATGTTTCTAACTCTCTATCCCTCTCCCTTCCTCTCTCTGTAAAAACTCAATAAAATATATTAAAAAAAAAAATTGCCACTAAAAAAAAAAAAGAAAAAAATAATTTTGCCACTAAAAAAAAAAAAAGCAGGAGATAGAGATAGAAACATCAATGATGAGAGAGAATCATTGATCAGCTGCCTTTTGCACGCCCCCCACTGGGAATCGAGCCCGCAATCCGGGCATGTGCCCTTGACCGG